AAATGTCCTAATGCATTTGTGTGATATGTTACTGGCTAAGGATAGGAACGAACTGCAGTAACACACTAGTTTTAGCCAAGAGTTGACCTCGTCTAAATTTTACCACAAGATTCAAGTATCTTACCAGAAGAGTGGCTATGCATAAATCTTTTCAGTAACAGAGAAGAGTTTCTGCATCTGATGTTAAGGAGAAATAAGATCCCTATAGAGGAATAAATTCCATCTGGACATAGACTCTCTTGCGGACAAGAGCAATGTCTTCTCTAAAACAGCTTTACATGACACTATACTCAGGCATGAGTGTTTTTACTATTTGTTAAACAAAGGACACATTGTTTAATTCATTTGAACACTTCTACACATTTTGAATTAAGAGTAAGATTGAATTTGTAAAGATGATGAAGACTCATGGATTAGTTGAACATCCCTCAGAAGCTTTCATCTCTGTGTCACCAGTGAAAATTTGGATATATGATCCAGCTCTCGTTTTCTCTCCCCCATTTGCTGGTGGCTTGTATCCAGTGTGGGCACTAGTAGGGGAAAAAATGGAGGAACAAGACTAAGGTTGGAAACCAGGCCACAGATCTGTGGAGAGCAGAGGTTTTGCTGTGGGTCCCGGGGCAACCATGGGAAAGTACTGAAACATAGGCCCAGCCTATGCTCAGAAGTTTTGCTGGCCTAGCAGTGTCAGTGAAGAGTAAGAGCCTTTTGCTGATGTGGCAATAGCACTAAACCCCAAGTGCAAATGCTAGCTAAAAATCTATTTGCTACTATAGCATAGTATATTTTGCTTGCGGACTAGATACAAACCCACATGGATAGAAGACTTTCTTGCCCACTGTTAACTGTGCCTACCCTTGGAGTAGATGCCGGTATGGCTATAGCTTTTAAACAGAAAAAGGTCATAGACCAAGCATTATTGGTATGTCCCATCTCATTTACATGAAGGGTTTATAGATTATGGATTAATTCATGGATTAATGTATGCTGAGCCAGCCCATGGATTAGTCCAAGGTCTTTGCATCAGCATTTCGTGTGAAGGAGTAGAACTATTTGTATGTAAAATATAGCACTGCCTTGGTACCAGAAGGATAAGAAGTGGCAGATACGACTTCAATATATAAAAGAGGTTTTGGGGAGCCTCTAGGAATTAGTGACCAATAATTTTGATGTCTGTAGGAGGAAAACTAGAAACTGCAGTAAAAATTAGACTAAGTGGACAC